ATGGGATTAAATACTTGATTGTATAATTGTATAATGTTATTATTCCTGAGTTAATGAAATTAATTATAAACTATTATCATAAACCCTGGACTTGAAATAATAACTAACCTGGATAATTGGAAATAATATTTAAAGTTGATAAAATTAAAAGATGATTAATAGATGAATATTAATATTAAGGATGATGATGAACTTGGAAAAGATATTGAAATAAATTAAATGAAAGGTCTGATTTCCTTTCTAAAATAACTGAATCAGTGGTGCCTTCTAAAATAATGAAACAACAGTCTTACCTTCGGAAAAGAACTATAAACTTCTTAAAAGAACCATCAAGTCACTTTACTAGGTAGTTCTGGAAGAAACCAGGACCACTGGTGACAGCGATCATCCGATGTACAATAATTGACATAAATAGTACAAAATCACCATGTATTATGATTTATTGCTTCAATTTAGTACGAGATGTAAAGAACCAATGCCATGGATCGTTGATGCTGAGTTTTAATCTATAAAAACATGTTGATATCGCTGGAGTCTCGGGTAAGAGATTGAGTCATACCAAACATCAAAATCAATAATTAATTGATTTATCAATTGCAAAATAAATAATCACAAAAAATGCAACTCAACATTTTTGATATTTTTTTATTTGTGATTTTCATTGCTGTAATCGTCATCTACAAACTATATAATCAGAGCATCTTAACAATGGAGATAGTTTATTCCGTTATCCCCGAAAATACAATATTCTATGTAATTATCACCGTAGTATTTATTTATCTACGAAAATATGTATCTCCAACTCCGATTCCAATTCTGACTCCAATTTCCACTACGTTGGATGCAAATATAAAAGAATTAAAACGAGATATGTTGGCATTAAAAAATGATCATGCAAGAATAGAAAAAGATTTGGAATGGAGGTCTGAAGTGTGAAGTATAGGTTTGTGAAATGCACAAAATTTTATTTATAGGCAAAGCCCTGTGTCTTCGATGCATATTTAACTGCATTATTCCTAATTAGGGCAAGCATCAGTGCGAAGTCACAAATCTGAATATGGGTCGAATTTACTGCAATTTTCAATGAAAGAAGAATGTTCACCCACAATCTCATATCTGAGGAAATCAGTCTCAGCACAGCTACACTTGTCACCTTTTATTGACATCAGAAATTACCGCAACATACCTCATTAGACAAAATTGAAGATTGGGTTGAAAAAGAGAACCGAAAAAAAGATAATTCAGTTATCATTAGTGGTAGTAGCAGTAATAACAATAGAAATAATTTTTTAAGTAGTGGTAGTAGAAATATAATTTTAGATGATAGTAATGAAAATAATGATAACAATAATAGTGATAGTTAGTATGGGATAGGGAAAGGAACCACCATTTTTACAATGTAAAGGCCTAGGATCCAGCGGGCATAGTTTCATGCTTTATTCCTCCCTCTTAGCTCTCTACTCCATACTTTTACATTGTAATTTAACGTAAAAAATATTTTCTATTATTTTATTTCGAAAAAAGTATTTTTGCCGATCGTCACGACTCGTGTGTTCGATCATCCTGTACTATAGAAATCTATAGAAATCTAATCAGATCTCAATAAAGAATTCATTTCTCAAAATACAGTATTTACTACTTCAACAATATTGCATATATACAATAACTCGCAATGTCTATCAAACTTTTCTGCCTTAACAAAGGGGACCCTGCAACGCACGCTTTTCCGGTCAATATCAACAGGGACGATACTATTGGTGATCTCAAAGATGCAATCAAAGCGAAGAACCAGCAAGTGTTTGGTAGTGTAGATGCCAAGGACCTAAAATTGTGGAAGGTGGAATTACCGATCAAGCTCGACAATACTATTCAGGAACCAACATTAAACAATGAATTATTTACTGTAAACGGTATTGGAGATTATTGGACTGGCACACCTCCAAAGAAGCATATTCACGTCATTGTCGAGCAACCTGTTGCCATCGGTATGTAAATTTTAGTCAACGCTGAGATGGCTTGATTTTTGATAGCCGTTGCTTCGTTCTCGTCTGAGTTGTGTCATATTTAATATTATTTTTCCAATACATAGTGCCCCCTAGCAAACGAAGAAAAATTGAAATCAATAGTGAAGCACTGAGAATGCTTTGGAATGCTTTGAAGAATGGGCAAGTTAATGAGATTGAGAGTGGGCAGTTCCTTCAGTTTTCCGAGGATGTTTCCTATCTTACAGGCCAAAATGAGCAAGGTTTAAAAATATCCACTCTGTTCATCCGTGAATGTTATCTCCATCTGTCTAAGATTATCTTTGAAAATGTTAATGTCCGTCGTTGGCGTATTACTGGAAATCCAGGGATTGGGAAAACCTTCTTCGGTTATTACCTGCTTTATCGTCTTGCACAACAAAATAAAACGGTCGTATATCACAGATACAACATGCCTCCGATTCTCTTTAGCGAGGAAAGTGTTTTCACTAGTTCCAAAGACAATATTCATGAATTCAGAGGTTACCTGGAAAATTATGATGTTTGGTATATAGTTGATGGCAGGGAGCCAATGGAATATGTCGCCAGGACAATTCTAATCTGTTCGCCTCAAAAGCGTTACTATAGTACATTTGATAAACTTGGGACAACTATTCGATACATGCCAGTGTGGTCTTGGGAAGAGACTGATACGTGCAGGAATGAGCTTTTCCGTGATCTTACTCAAAAGAAGGTTAAGAAATTACACAATAAATGGGGTGGAATTCCTCGCTTTACCTTGTTTTATGCACTCAATATTTCTCAGCAAGAACTCCTTCAGAAGGCAATTAACTCAGTTAATGATAAGATATTAAATTTCGTTGGCGAAACCACAGAGGACAATAGCGCCAGTCACAAAATTGTTCATATCCGTACGAACGTGCCACAAGTAGGCGAGAAAGGAAAGGGAGTAGAGGAAGTAGAGGAAATAAGTGAAGTAGAAGAGGATACTGGGGAATCTTCCTCTCCTGCAGTAACTAAGCCAGACAAAGATAATGAAGAGGTACCCTTCTATACATTGTCAAATTTAGATTTTGCATCCGATTATGTTTATGAAAAGGTAATGGATGTACTCCTAACGAATTACAAAGAACAGTTGCAGACTTTTGTGCAAGCTAGCAAATCAATAAGTGATTATGGCACACTTCGGGGTACTATATTTGAGCGGATCGCCCATGGAAAGTTATTAAATGGAGGGACATTCAAGGTTCGTCCTTTATTTGGAAAGACTACCTCTTGCTTCGGGATAAGTAATAGTAATCGCAAACTAACAATACCTCCTCGGGAAAAATTGTTGTTCAGCAAACCTGATGAGGTTATACAAAACCGATACTGTATACCAACTCAAAAAAATAACGCATCTTTCGATGCATTTGTTTCTCCCGACACATTCTTCCAAATGACTATTGCTGATAATCATCCTATCATCAGGATTGGCTTGGAAAAATATATTAAGGACGACAATTCAGATATCAATTTTTATTTTGTCTTACCAACGGATTTGTATAACGATTACAAACCGCAGGCTCTTCATACCACAAACAGGACTGTTCTCAAGAATAAACCGCCTTGGTTTAATCGCTTCAAACAATATGCTCTGGAACTTGATCCGAAGTTAGTTTGTATTAAAAAAGATAAATAGTTATCAGTTATATTCTCGCATGAGATCATGATAATGATTCTTCTATATTTTCATTTTATCTTCAAATAATATATGCTCTTTTTAATAGTATTTTTAATGATAGTGAGAAGGAAATGATAGCCAGAATTTAAACATTTTCAGCATCATCTATTTCGAAATTGAGTTTGGAAGATATTGAATATGTAATAGCCAAGATAATTCGTTTTAATCAATAGTGTTTCATTATCATGTTTATGTAAAAATAGAGTTATAATTATAAAATTTGTGGACGTTGAAGTCCATATTTTATTTCAATAAAATTTGCGCTTTTTTTTTGTTTCGTTATTTCGGTTTAGCCAAATAAATTTTACTTGTGTTAATGGAAAGTTCTAATATATACAAATTTCAGGTTTTATATTATTAGATGAATTTACCTCAGTTTCGCTAAAAATTTGTATGAATTGAATATGGATTTTTTCCCATTCTTTCATGAGATCATTGAGCCATGCGGTACTTAAACCACTCTTTAGTATACCACGATGTAATAATTCTTCGCCAATCAGCCTTTCCCGATCTGTTAAAAATTTGTGATATTTTCTGGTATCTTCATTCCTTTTTATTCCTCCACAATAAAGGCATATATCTCTCTTCAAGTCAGCACGGAAGCATCCCATGGTCCATCTTTTTTTCTCAGCCTCAGTAATGACTGAAAATTTCTCGGGATCCATTCCATGTTCAATGGCATATTGGTGTAAACTAGCCTCTGGTTGATAAATTTTATTTGAATTAGTCCCAGAAATTGGTAATTGAGTTTCCGGTGAACTCTGTATGGCAATTATGACTTTCTTTTGATCGATACGAAAAGGGCAATTAAGAAAATAGTGATCATTTGTACCTAGACAGCTCCAGTTACCCCACATACCTAAATGTGTGTGTACTTCATCGCATATCGGACATTTAGCTTCTGAATTGGTATATTTAAAAACATCTCGGTATCATGCATTTGATTTAGTGTAGGACAAGAAAGGAAAACATTTATGTAATGCATCATGGATTATCCGGAAACTTGGAAATTTTGATAATACAATCCTGTGAAAGGTGATTATCAGTCTTTTCGATTTGTGGAGATTCAGGAGTTTCAGACTTTATCCAGGGATTGAGTCCAGTCTCTTCTGTATATGCTTTATATAAGCTTAAACAAATTTTATCTGTCAAATGACTCGGTGAATCAACCAATTTAGCATGCCAGTTTAAATATTCAGGAGTTAAGGCTTTATCCATGTTATTCTTTATATGATCGCAAATTCAAATTGAGTATGA